TGTATGAGCACTTCTTCCGGAAGCTCAATCTTGAGAGTCTTGAGTTTTGAAACAATGTTGGACATTTCCAAAATGTACTCCCTTATGTTTCCTTTGCTGTGATACCTCATGGTACTAAAGCGATACAGAAGTGAACTTATTTCTGCCTTATCGCTACTCGCAAAGCGCAAGTCCATCTCAGCAAGGAACTGTTTGAGATCAGAGATCTCCTCATTACCTCTAAATGTTTCTGGAATGGTGTCCAAAATGATCATTAAACCAATGCGATTAGAACGTTCCCACTTCTCATGAACTGCCTTATACTCAGCAGTGCTGGTATCTGTAGGAGAAGCTGATTGTTCCATCCTTAACGCAAGGTCAAGATCCATACACCCTAAAACAATTTTAACTTTACTTTTCCATTCCTTGTAATTAGAACCGGTAAGTGTTGGAATTGAACTTAAGTTTGCAGATACTGCAATAAAATTTGCTGCAAAATTGAACAATCTTTATTAGTAATTTACTACTAAACCGAACTAAATCAATAAATAAAAAATAAACAATTGTACAACACATCTCAAGATATCAAGATATCAAGTGCAACATTAATATCAAGTTTTTGGACAGTAATATTAACTGCTAGTGATACTCTTGTTGTAACAATCAAACATTGACAATAATGCATGATAAACAATAAACCTATCTTTGAATCGATTTATCATTCACATGTTTATTCCTAATAATTATCACATGTTTATCATCACAGGTATGTATGTTATTCGGCCAAATACAAACCTACCTTTGGGTCGATTTAATATTCGCATGAATATACATCCACACATAACATTTAATATTATCAGTGGAAAAATATCCACAATAGAGGTTATTTTGGCAACATATTGTATCTATTAATCCACTTCAAATATTAAACTTGTACAATCAAAATTAATTTATTAATTAAAAACTTAATTAGATTCTTGCGCAGACATATAACATAAAGTATGGGGGTTCTATATGCAAGAATATTACAGTGGCAAAATGGTTAAAAACAAATAGGAAGGAATCGCCAAGACTGAAACCAGATCTGAATTTTGCTCAAAATTTTCGAAAATTCTTTCTAGAGTTTCGAAAAAAAATTTATGAGCATGAAACTTTAAAAAAATTTTAAAGACTAATTCTGATAATTGCTCCCAAAAATTCCGAAAATATATTAAAATTTTCAGAAAAAACAAAACCACATGAGCAATAATCTAGATCTTTTGTTTTTAAAAAAAAACAAAATAAATCACAGATCCCAGAATTCTAATCTAAGCATAAACTTTAGAGAAAAATCAGATTTAACAATCTAAAATTTTTTCACACAAATAATCCGAATTTATTTCTTAAAATAACCTGATTATCAAACAAAAACTGAACATGATGGCTCTGCTACCAATTGTAAGGATTTAAATCTTTATAAACCATTATAACATGTCAGTTTCTGATTAATAAGAACAGAAGCGGAAGCGTACATTTTGGATCCATGATTTATGCTCTGAATTTGGCTATGGTTCTTCCACAACAAACCCTGAATGGCTGTAGGTCTCTGTTGATGGGATGCAGAAAGTTTTCTGTATTTCTCGTTAGGGTTGCTGCGGGGACCATAACCTCTCTATTTTTATAGAGAATAATTTCTTATTCGGCCCGTCATCAAATTAGAAATTACTGAATGTATCCTCACATTAATTTTACATAACACTTATACCCTTTAGTCTTTTCTTTAATACCAAAGTGATCACATAAGTTTTGACTACTAAAAATAATGACCCTAACACATTGATTATACATGTGTGACCCCAAATAATTTTTACAATTCTGACAGGTACGCCTCTCATTTTCTCAATACTATAGATAAACATAATTTATACGAGAATTTTTTCAAAAAAAATAACAAAAAAAAACATGCACAAATTAAATTAAGCTCGTAAAAAAATTTATATGAGATTTTGTATATACAGCTTCTTGATGGCTACGACGATGAAGAATAAAGAAACCAGGGACTGTGTTTACGCAACAAGTCTAGGCAACATTTATTTCGCAAAGAAGAAAAAAAACATGTCTAGGCAACATTGTTTAGTTTAAGCAACATGTCTCTTATTAGTATGTTTAATATATTAGTGTAGCTGTCTAAAACACTATGCCTTATTCATTTGGTTTTTTGTCATTTGCATCTAGACGAGCTATTTAAATGGTTCATCTGGATAAATCATCTGAAATGTTTGTTTTTATTTGGGTTGTTTATTTGGATAATACATCTCAATGAATCTTTGTTTGTTTTATCATTTTAATTTGAAGTTATATTTTCATTTAGATGGTTTAATAAAAAAAAATACTAAAATACTGATTTAATCTAATTATAAATTTTTATTTTTGTCAAATTTTAAATAAATTATATTTACATTTTAAATATATGTCGAATTTTACATGATTTGATGTTTTTGACGAAAAAACAAAATTTTCTATTTTTGGTGAGAAAATGGGATTTAATGATTTTTATGAGAATGAGATATTAAGTTTTTTAGAAAACCATGATATATTTTTTGTGAGAAAATGATACTTTATATTTTTGCAAAAAAACAAAATTTTACGTTTTGACGGAAAAACAAGATTTGATATTTTTTTTACAAAACAATAAGATTTTATTTTTTCGGCAGAAAACCGGAAATTAAGTTTTTGGCAGAAAAATAAAATTTTATGTTATTAAAAACGAGATTTTACTTTTTTGCAGAAAAAAATTATTTTACGTTTTTACGAGAAACAAATAATTGAAGTTTTTGGCAAAAAATAAGATTTACGTTTTTGGAAGGAAAGTAAGATTTTACGTTCTCACGGAAAATGAAATTTTATGTTTTTGGCGAAAAAATAGAATTTTATGTTTTTGACAGGAAAATGAGATTTTACGTTTTAACGGTAATCTAGTGGGAAAATAAAATTTACGTTTTGGCTGAAAAAAATAAGATTTTACGTTTTTGACGGAAAAATAAGATTTTACGTTTTGGATGGAAAATAAAATTTTTGTTTTTTACGAAAAATAGAATTTTATGTTTTTGTGGAAAATCAAAATTACATTTTTGGAGGGACAATGAGATTTTATGTTATTATCAGAAAACATGATTTTACGGTTTTAGCAGAAATTTGGTGGAAAAATTAAATTTTAAGTTCTTGCGAAAAAATGAGATTTTATGTTTTTTGCGGAAAAATATAAGTTTATATTTTGGCGGAATTTATATATGTATATATATATATATATTTGGTAGCAACAAAACTGTAAGTAAACAAAAATTGTTGTTAATATTAATTATTTACTATTTGTTTGTATTATTTATAAATTTTTATTAATTATATTTTTGTCATTTAATTTTTTGGACTGAATCATCTTTATACAAATGCTTCAGATAGAATCAGCTGGATGAGTTTAAAATTTCTTCATAAATTTATAAGTTATTCAGATGCTCCATCTAGATGATCCATTAAGATGAGTCGATTAATGCAATTAAACAAACATCATTTTATTGTTTCACTTGGATGATCCATCTAGATGAGCAAACAAGCAGTCCTATGTATTTGTGTTATACTCTACATTATTTAAGATTGGGTTAAAATTGATCTGAGTGTGAGAAAGCAAAGCATTTTTAGAATGATAAAAAAAATGTGAACATGAGTTGAATATGATGGTGAGCCACAACATGGACAAAAGAGAGCAAACAAAAATCATAAAAAGATTTTAACTTCAACAGAAGTAAGAGATTCATTGGCTACATATTCCATTTACAATTATTTCTTGACAGTTCTAACACACACAACTGTAGAAAAAAAAACTTGAAAATACCATAAGTATCAAGAGAGAGAGAGAGTAATAACCAATTTGTAATGGTAACAAACAAAAAAGATAGACGTAGTCAGCAAGAAAACAAGAAAAAAGGCAAAAAAAAATGATTCATTTCTACTTTTGCTATGATCCTCTATAAATATGATCCAAAATCTGCCAAGTTTATAGAAAATGAGGTGTTATAGATAGTTGGAAAGAAGAAGAAGATTTTAGATAGAAGAAGACGTTTGGCATCCCAGAGAAATGCTTTTGTGGGCGAGCAGTGAAACTGGAGTCAATGACCGATGCAGGACCAAGGATACCAGGCCGCAAGTACTATACTTGCCCGGACTGGCTCAAAGAGGTAAGTTGAACAAGTCTTTGTGGTAATTTTTACTTGCCCTTTATACTGTTTTGAATTGTTACTTATGTTATTGCAATTGTTTTTGATTAGGGGAATGATGAGCATCATATATGGCAGTGGTGGGATGAGGCGGTCACTGAGCAGTTCTCCATCGTGGAGAGGAGGCTTTAAGAGCAGAAGGAGATGCTGTTTAGGATGGACAGACATGATGTCTTTGATCCAACCATTGGAGAGCTAAACGCAGCGGTCAGAGTGCTGCAAGCAGAAGTGTCAAGACTGAAGGAACAGAATGCCAAATAAGGTGAATGATTTGTGATGCTGTTTTTTATTTTTGTTATTGCAGTCATTTCGTATTTGTTTAAGTAGCATGACTGAGTAGCATCAGTTATCTGGTTTGTTTAACTAAGTATTTTTCCTTAGCTACGTGGAGTTAATTATGACAACAATGTTTGATTGTCTTTATTTAAGTAAGTAGGACAAAAATGTTGTATTGTTCTCGTATGGATATGTTATGAAGCTATTATGTTAAGTACTCGTTTACTTGTCCGTTGATTGATGTTTCAAACTTGGTTAGGTGAAATGGTAGATAGTGTATTGCTTGTTGATAACTTATTGATTACTTATATGTTTTTGTGTGAGGTTAAATGGTGGACAAATCGAAAGAGCAATGTAAAGGCTACCTACGATTCTGGTTCATCAATCTGTTAAAATTAGTTTTCTTCTACCTCTATCGTTAGCATTAGTAGTTAGTTGAAGGAGTTAGTAGTCGCTTAGGGTTGTGATAAATGCATTTGAGCTTTAGTTAGGTAAATGGGTATGTGTTCAATGCTTGATAACTTTGTTAGGTAAATGTCTTTTTTAACAATGCTTGATAGCTTTGGTTAGGTTTCTGTAATTAAATGCATTGCGATAAATGTTTTGCTAGTTAAAAAACAAAAACAGACTATACTTATTTCTAAAAACGTAAAACTTCTATCAAAACTTCAAAGCCTTACAAAACAGATTCGAAGAACTCCTATCTTCTTAAAAACTTCGATCAAAACTTTTTTCTAAAATACTTCATTCAAAATGTTATTCTTTCTAAGAACTCTTTCCTTTTTAATAACTTCTTTCTAAAAACTTTTGTTCTTTTAAAACTTCAAACCCTAAACCTTCTTTATCAAACTTCTTTCTCTAAACATCTTTTTAACCACTCGCTTTTAACTCATTCCTTAATGGATTCATAACCCTTACCAAAACACTGAAGGTTTTGTTAACCTCTTAACTAGTCAGCTAGTTAATGAGGGTAACTCACCTACTATCGATCTAGGATTATCAGAACTCCCACAGTTTAGTACACATGGGTATGATGATCCAGGTCTAGGTGGCAAGAATCAGGCCGAGAGAAGGAAATGGTCACTTAAGGAAGATCTGGTTCTGATCACTGCCTGGCTGAATACAAGCAAGGACCCGGTGGTTGGTACGGACAAGAAAACTATAGCCTTCTGGAAACGCATCGTCTCCTACTTCAACTCATCTCCGCAGCTTGTCGGCCAGGCGAGAAGAGAAGTCAGCACTTGCAAACAACGATACGGGAGGATAAATGATTATGTTTTTAAGTTCCCTGGTAGTTATGAAGCCGCTGTGAAAGAGAAGACCAGCGGCCAAAACATAAACGATGTCATGAAAGCTGCTCATGACATCTTTTACAACGACTACTTGATGAAGTTTACCATTGAGTATGCATGGAGGGAGCTACGTTTTGATACTAAATGGTGCAAAACATTATGTACTAAAGATTCAGCAAGCACAAAAAGAAGGAAGTTTGAGGAGGGGTCGGCTCAGTCATCAACCTCGCAAACCGAATGCAATGGCGATGATGTCTTTGAGGTTCGACCGCCGGGTGTGAAGGCTGCAAAGGCTAAAGCCAAGAGGTAAAACGGTGTAAAGGAAGAAGGGAAGGCCTTGTATGAGTTCCAAAGCCTGTGGGATATAAAAAAAAAGACTTGGAATTGAAAGATAAGATCTCCAAGCAGAAGTTGCTTGAGAACCTCCTATCTAAGGCCGAGCCACTTTCCGAGATAGAAGTGGCTGTAAAGAATAAGCTGATTAATGAAATTCTGTCATAAGTAGTGAACTATGAAGTCTTTTATGAGGGTTTAATCCTGTATGAACTCTGTAATGTTGTGGAAGACAATTTATCAGTTTGTTTGGTATGATGTTTAATCGGTTTTATTGTTATCAGTTTGTTTTTGTATACTAGCAAGGATCTGTAGTTTGTATGGTATGACTTTATGTTATGTTTTTGTTGTTGTATATTTGGGATCAGTGTGTTATATTCGGTTATATGAAATGATATTTGGATTTATGGTATGGTTGTATTCAATATATGGTTATGGTTTAGCAGTCGTCTATGATGGACCAGGTGGAGGCACACACAAGATGTGAAGGGCCAAGATATATCACGGGTTGTTTTTTTTTGGTTGTATGTCAATTTGTAACCCAAGGGTTTAGTTGTACACACGGGTCATTTTGTAGACTAAGGTCATATTGTTTTGTTTTTTTGCACTATCAAAGTAACGGGTAAAGATGTTTTTGTGGACAGAATATGGGTACCAATATTGTAAACACAAGTACTTGGCAATATTGTTAACCACAAGCTCTTGTAAAGGAATCGATTTGTTGTGCCTATATATATGTAAACCAACGCTTTTATAATTGGGAAGGAAACTCAAACTCTTGTTACTTTTAAAAACTCAAACTCTTGTTCTTTTTAATTTCTCTTGATTTCTCTCAAAATTCTTCTAAACCAAACTCCAACCTTTTTTCTTTTTCTTTCTCCATTAAGTAAACATAAAATACCACAAATTATGGCATTTTCTTCAAACATGGTCTTGATGAATCTTTTGATGATACTTTTGATGAGATTTTTGATCAAAAATGCGAAGATATGTTCGACGTCGTTCTAGACCGTCATGCAAGGGCAAAGCAGAAGAAGAAACGTGCATATATTGAAAGAGAATGCGAACAAGGCCACAACCGCTTATAGAACGTCTATTTCTGTGAAGGTGCAACATACCCGCCTAATCTTTTTCGACGCCGTTTTAGAATGAACAAAAACTTTTTCATGCGCATTGTTGATCGCCTCTCCAATGAAGTACCGTACTTCAAACAAAGAAGAAATGCTGCCGGAAGGTTTGGTCTATCCGGACTACAAAAATGTACGACATCAATTCGTATAATGGCATATAGTTGTGCGGCTGACGTGTTTCACGAATACCCCTGGCTAGGTGCAAGTACTGCATTGTTATGCTTGGAACACTTTACTGAAAGAATAATAAATTTGTTCGGAGATGAGTACCTTAGAAGACCCATACTAGAAGATCTTCAATGCCTACTCGATATAGATGAGATATGGGGGTTTCCAGGATGATAGGAAACATTGCATTGGGAGTGAAAGAATTGTCCTACCGCTTGGAAAAGATAATATTCACGTGGTTCTGGAAAACCGAAAATCGTCTTAGAGGCAGTTGCATCACAAGATCTTTGGATATGGCATGCATTTTTTGGGCCTCCAGGTACCTTAAACGATATTAATGTTTTTGATCGTTCACGTGTTTTTGATGACATATTACAAGGTCGAACTCCAAAAGTGCACTACTAGATTAACAGACACGAATATCATTTGTCGTACTACCTCAGAGTCGGTATTTATCAAAAATAGACTACTTTCATGCAATCTATTCCACTTCCTCAAGGTCCGAAAGCAACATTATTTGCTACTTGTAAAGAGTCAGTCCGCAAAGATGTCGAACGTGCTTTTGGAGTTTTGCAAGCTCGATTTGTGATTGTCAAAAATCCAGCTCTTTTTTGAGATAAGGAAAATATTGGCAAGATTATACGAGTGGCTATCATATTTCACAATATGTTTGTAGAAAACGAACTAGCTGGCTACACTGAATATGACACAACAAAATTCGAACAGGGAAAAGGAAGCAGAATTTTATAAGTGGATATGACGTATTCTATAGATATGCCTTTAAATCTCGGCAATATGATCGGCATTCGAAATCAAGTCCGTGATAAAAAAAAAAATACATCAACGTTTAAAAAGAGATTTAATCGAGCATGTGTGGAACCAATATGGTTCCTCTCAATATTAGATCTAAAGTTTTTATAACTTCAATATCTATATTTTGTATGTTTTAAATTTCTTGTAATGAATTAAACATCTTTTTTTATAAGATATAAAAGTTTAAAGTTAAGAACAAAATAAAAACAAATACAATTTTTTTCTAAAAAAATGTTGTTATTCTATTTTTAAGAACCCGTAAATGGGGTTTATCAATGAAAGCCTAAAATGAGCTCAGGTTTTTCACTGTTTATACATCCAAAAATGAACAATATTTAAATGCTGAAAATCCCTTTTGACTTTTTAGAGGTTCACTGATGTACATGCGCTAAGGATCCATAAACTCAAACCTGAAAAAAAATCTGTACCCATTAACCGTGTGGAAGTTGGCTTTCACAACCTTTACAAATTCATAGTGTGTACGCTCCTCTTTGTTGTAGTATTCAAGGGAATTTTGAGATAGCCTCAACCGCTGGTTTCTGGCTCCTTAACGAAACGATGTCCATTGAGATCAGTCATCAACAAGACGGTAGTTGAAAATGCATCGGAACAATGTGTAATCGATATCGAACCCCTATTATCACAAACAACCAACTCTCAGTTTCACAACTGATTACATATCAAACCATAAGCATTAACATCAATTATAAACCTCGCTTTCCTCGATTTGTTTATTGATCATGGAGATTTCTTCCTCTACTGTATAATGAGGCTCATCTTTCTCGCTTCTTGTGATATATGGATGGTCCTCACGCTCGAAATCATCAGGTGCACACAGCACATACGCAGATGCCATGTAAGGAGTCAAAGCTGACACATGTAATGAGGGATAATTGATCAGACGAGATTGTTCAAAGCTAAAAGTTGAAAACATTGTTTAAATTTTGCTATATTTACTGATTTTAAGTTAAATCATAAATTTTTTTTAATATATTAAATCTTTAGAAAAATTATTTCTGGCAAATACGTGGGTGAGAGAATCTAAGTATTTTATTATGGAACTCTTGATAAAATATGAGATGAAAAATAAAAGTTTTTTTTTTGTTAAGTCAAGCTTAGTAGTAAAAATAAATATAACATTAAAAAAAGCTTAGTAATAAAATTATCTGAAGTTCACTTAGTTATGCCTTAATTATTTATTTATTCGCTGTTGTATTCTTTGCCTATTAATTTTTTTTTTTTTAAAACTGCATTCCTGCTTGGTCCACGTCCATTTCTTATTTTTCATTATCTTATCCCTCCATTGTATCAGTGCATTAGCGTATTGTCGTGTTTCTTGAGGAAGTGGATGATGCGGTCAAAAGTGTTCGATGAAATGTCTCAGTGATATTTGATCTTCTTCAGGCACGATATCATCACTCAAATTTGAAGCTTCATCTTCTCCAACTCGCGACGGACAATTCTTCATGTGGTGCCTACCATCTGTTCGACCTAATGTCTCTGTGATGATGATCAAGTCTTCTTTCCATCATCATCCTCCGATACTCAAACTCACTTGTAAATTCTCAACCACGACCACTTCCTCCCCCTATCTTCCTCCTTTATTCAGGTTTGTTTTCTCTCTCTCTCTCTCTCTCTCTCTATCAGTCTCAGCTTCCCCACTGTTTCTTGATTCCGATCCTCACTAAGAGCTTTTGGCTCCAGCATCGCCCCAATGATGGAATGGACAGATAATCATTACCGGACGCTTGCTCGCCTCATAACAAAGCACGCTTGGCTTTACACAGAGATGATTGCCGCTCAAACTATTGTTCACCAGCAGAACAATTTGGACAAGTTCTTAGCTTTCTCTCCTCAACAACATCCTATTGTTCTTCAAATCGGTGGGAGCAATGTGGAAAGCCTTACAAAAGCTGCTAAGCTTGCTGATGCTTACGGATACGACGAAATCAATCTCAAGTTTGTGCTTTTTCTTTTTCTTTCAGTATTGCGTATGGACTTAGTTAAACTTAAAGTGGGTTTTGTTTTCTTTCTTCTTTTGTTGAGATAGCTGTGGATGCCCTAGTCCTAAAGTAGCCGGCCATGGATGCTTTGGTGTTAGCCTCATGCTCAACCCTAAGGTCCGGTTACTCTTCCTGATGATTTCACGATTTATATCTGCTTTTTCTTTTAGGCTCACACTTTGTTTACTTTGATTGTGTAAGCTTGTTGGAGATGCAATGTCTGCCATCGCCGACAATACTAACGTCCCTGTTACTGTGAAATGTCGAATTGGTGTGGACGATCATGATTCCTATGATGAGCTCTGTGAGTGTTTTAAGTCTCGTATGGACTTGGTCTTGATATGCCACAACGTACTGATACTTGTTTTCCTTTACTCTTAGGTGACTTTGTTTACAAGGTTTCTACTCTGTCACCAACCCGGCATTTCATTGTACATTCACGCAAGGCACTGCTTGGTGGGATTAGCCCTGCAGATAATCGGAGAATCCCTCCTTTAAAGTATGTTTAACGTCACTTACCTCTTGATTACCGTCTTGTGAAAAAGTTTATTATATGTGTAATCTGCTGTTTCTTTGAAGTAAGTCACCTGTTTTTGGGCGTAGTTCAGGTACGAGTATTACTATGCCCTTGTGCGTGACTTCCCGGACTTGAGATTCACAATTAATGGAGGCATTACTTCTATATCTATGGTGACCATCTTGGATATGAGAATACTAGCTTTCTGCCCTGATGGTTCTAGCAGGATAAGACTGAGAAAAAATGTTGTGATTGTAAGGTAAACGCTTCATTGAAGGAAGGAGCTCATGGAGTCATGGTAGGCCGCGCTGCATACAACAAGTATGTGAATATATATAGCTGATTAGTCTGAGTGCTCTATATCAAAGCCCCTCTTTTTGTTTTTCTTTTCTTTTGATTCGCTGTATGTTTGGCAGCCCATGGCAGACACTAGGACATGTTGACACTGCAGTTTATGGTGTTCCAAGCAGTGGCCTTACACGGCGACAGGTTCCGTGGAAATATTCAGCTATTTGAGTTGCTTTGTCTGCCAAACCTGGGGATTTGCTAATATCTGAGTGTTGAGCAGGTTCTTGAGCAATATCAAGTATACGGAGATGCTATCTTGGGAACACAGGGAAACGGGAGGCCTAATGTAAGGGATCTAGTGAAGGTAGGTGTGGTTTAAACAATAAAGCGAGTAAGAAAACGAATACAAGTCATGTGTGTGAACTGAGAATATTCCCAATTCAATGCAGCCTCTGCTAAACATTTTCCACTCAGAGAATGGAAATAGCTTGTGGAAGCGAAGAGCAGACGCTGCTTTCAGAGAGTGCAAGGTAGGTGTATGCAAGAATAATGCTATTTTTGTAGTAACATTTTAGAGAGTTTGTAATATGTGTTGGAGTGTTGATTGCAGACGGTTGGATCATTGCTGGAAGAAAGCTTGAAGGCGATCCCAGACTCTGTCTTAGATTCACCGATTGCTGTGAGTCCAGAAAGTGGAGAAGAAGATGTGTTTGCTGATGTGCATAATGTATTGCCACCTCCCTACAAAGCTCAAGAACAACAACTCATCTTATGTGCTTAGTTGGTTTGGTTAGTTGTCTTTGTGTGTGGTATTTTTTGGAGCAAAGCTTCTTCTATTGATGTATTTATGCGTTTCACAGGAATGCAGAATGATACACATGTTGCATCTAAAAGCAAATTGAAAACTACTTTCATATATTGAGATAATACGAAACCTTACAATTATCGAGTCCATAATTTCACCATGGATACAAATTGAAAACAGCGATTAAACAACAACAACAACAAAAGCTATGAAATTTCAAACTAAATAATTCGGAATCTATTGTCCACAAAGTGGCTGCGTCTTGAAACCGAAAAACTCCAAATCCAGCTGAGAAGAATCCCAAATACAATCATCCCCACAAAACCCTTTAACCGCCATTGGGTCCTCCGCCGGAAAATAATCGCCGCCGGGAAACCCTAATGCCAAATCTACTTCCTTTCCCGAAACGGAAACGTTCTCTGAGACTGAAACCCTAGGACGACCATCTTCTTCCGGCACCGTCTTGATCAGAATTTCTAACTTCTTCTGTCTGATTCCGACCAATTGTGAGTTAATGTCTGCGAGATGATTTGTCAGTTCCTCAACAGACAAACCCTCGAGAAGATATTGGAAATCATCAGTGAGTTGAGTTGCGTATCTCTGTCTCTTTAGATTGCTCTGTTTGTTAAATTCGGAGATGAGTCGTGGTAAGGCTTGTGGGTTATCTTGCGGCTCAGGCCACACATAGAGATCATCCTCGTCGCCACCTGGACCGTAGCATATGAAACCCACAGAGTTTCCACAGAGAACGGAAAGCTCCGAAGCTTTCTTCTTAAAACCTGGAAACATCTTTTTGAAGGTTGCCTTCTCCCTCTTTCTCGAATCATCTACGCAATTTTTCTGTCGAGGAGCCATGTTTGCTTTTCTCTTTTGCAGAAGAACAAAAAAAATTCTGAGGCCAGATTAAGAGAAAGAGAGAGAGAGAGAGAGTAATGCAATTGATGAGAACTGAAAGTAGGGTTTAGATGCAATATATATACACGTTTTCTTTTCCGCAACGGTCATATACGCGTTAATTTTTTTTTTAAGTTTCCCGCCAAAGAACCTTATATATTTTTTTCTGTGTTACGTTTATAACTTTATATTCCTAAAAATAATCATAGAAAAACCATTACAAATCTGCCGTCGTTAATTGCTAAAATCATATAAAATCAATCATACGAAACATTTTATTTCGAAAGTTCTTTATATATATTATTTCGACAGTTCTTCCAAAAATATTTCATACATAGATAAAAATAAATTGGCCGAATATTTCTTGCTCTACTATATACTGAGGCTCATCTTTCTCGGTTCTTGTTATATATGGATACTCCTCACACGCGAAAGCATCAGATGCACACAGCAAATATGCAGATGCCATGTAAGGAGTCCAAGCTGAGACACATGTAAATGTAATGAGGTTCAAACCATATATATTTTTGTCTTTGCTTGGGACTTGGGAGGGATGTCGTCGAACCTTTAATCAAATATAAATATATAATTCATAGGGTTGTTTATACCTTCAAATTGACTCATACCTTCAAAGATTTATATAGTAACAGCACGTATGTTCAGGAACAGATAACTCCCTGTGTTTCTAGAACTCTTTCTTTAAGTCTAAGTGTCTTAACAACATCTTCTTATATTGCATCCAACTAAGTTTCTTACTCTCCTCTTCTTCCGGCCGGTCATTTCTGCTCGTCTTCTCTTTCTTTCCCATACTCACCACCGCTGCTGCTCAGGAGACTTCTCCTGCTTCTTAATCTCCGCTTCTCCGGTGGTTGGCGCTTTATTAACGAATTAATGATTCTCATTAATTTGGTAAAAAATGTTTGTACAAAGTATATATACACGAGGATTAAGCTAAAGGAGACTCAATCTCTCTATACATATAACATTATCTAACCAAAACTAAACCAAGTATTAAACCGGATATAACCGTTTCTCTATTAGACCCCCCTCAAGTCTCTGAATTCGAAGCTGGTGAAGCAGGAATAAAGAGACTTGAAATTGACATCCTCTGAAGAAGCGAATGAAAGGGTCCCGGATGCAATGCCTTCGTCAAGATGTCAGCATGTTGGTTAGCACTAGAAACATGAAACAACTTCATAAACCCAGATTTCACCTGATCCCGAACTGTATGACAATCGACTTCGATATGTTTGGTTCGCTCGTGAAATACGGGATTGGTGGCAAAATGGATGGCTGATTTACTGTCACAGAAGAGCTTTGCCGATGTCTTGACATTAACCTTCAAGTCTTTGAGAAGTTGAGTAAGCCAGAGAAGCTCACACGTTGCTAAAGCCATACTCCGATATTCTGCTTCAGTACTACTACGACTCACAGTTTGCTGCTTCTTTGACTTCCAAGTAATCAATGATTTACCAAGATAGACACAAAAACCACTGATTAAACGCCTTGAATCTGGACAAGTTGCCCAATCCGCATCCGCAAATGCATTTAAACAGAGTTCAGTGTCTGCAGCAAAAAACAAGCCTTGTCCTGGATTACCTTTAAGATACCTTAATATCCTGTGAGCGGCCTGAAGATGTACATCCGTTGGAGAGGACAGGAACTGACTCAAATAATTCACCGCAAAGGTGATATCTGGTCTCGTGATCGTTAAGTAAAGGAGTTTACCGATAAGTTCCCGATATGGAGTAGCATTGTCAAGCTTTGTACCCGAGTCTCTGGTCAAATGAACCGATGGATCCATAGGAACTGTAGCTGGCTTGCAAGCTAACATTCCTGTTGTTGCCAGAATGTCTAGAGCATACTTGCGTTGACAAACCGATATCCCTTTGCTGTTGCGCGCAATTTCCAGACCAAGAAAGAACTTCGGAGCACCCATATCCTTGATCTGAAAAGCTTTATGCAAAGCATCTTTTAAAAACTGCAATTCAGTATCATCATTAGAAGCAATCATGATATCGTCCACATAAACCAATAAAGCCGTGAATGAAGATCCATTTTGCTTCACAAAGAGTGTTGTGTCACTCGGAGATTGTACAAAACCAGCCTGAAGAACAACATTGGAGAAACATTGATACCATTGGCGTGAAGCCTGTTTCAATCCATATAACGATTTGCGAAGCCTACAAACTGGATTTGGGGGCAAAGGGTTGGTAGGGTCTGGAGTATAACATTGAGGAAGACTCATATAAATCTCCTCATCCAAGTCCCCATGAAGGAATGCATTAGTAACATCCATCTGTGTAAGCTTCCAACCAAAACAAGAAGCAAGTGACAAAATCAACTTCACACTAGCAAGTTTTGCCACAGGAGAGAAAGTATCAATGTAGTCTATACCCTCCTGCTGTGTATATCCTTTGGCAACTAAACGCGCCTTATATCTATCAGTAGAACCATCTGGATTATACTTAATAGTATAAACCCATTTGCAGCTAATCACATGTTTATCAGGCGGCAAAGACTCAATAACCCATGTTCCCTTAGACTCAAGAGCATGCAACTCAACATCCATTGCCTTTGGAAAATGTGGATGAGCCATGGCCTGCTTAAAGTTTTGTGGCTCCGTCTCAGTAGAACAGGATAGAACAAAAGATTGGTATGAAGGTGAGAGTTTGGAGTAATCAAGGACAGAAGAAAGTGGATAAAGGACATTGGAAGAGATAGTTTGAGCAAGGTTACAATGATAATTGGATAAGTACCTTGGAGCTTTCACCTGACGTTTAGGTCTATCCCGAAGCAGTGAAGCCTGACCCGTACCAGAAGTAACAGTCTCACGAGATATAGGTAAGGCACTAGCTCGGGTAATGGATGCAGATGGTAAAGTCACATCAGTATTATCAGAATGCAATGCATGAGAACCCAAATCAGTAATAACAGGTGATTGTATAGAGGTTTGTTCATTGTCTGTATGAAAGTGCAAAACATTATCCAATGCAACAGGTATCGGCATTGGTAATATAGATGAACTAAAAAGATCAGTAGACACTGCAGAAGGAATATCTTTGTAAGGGAAAATTTTCTCATGAAAAACAACATTCCTAGAAATAGAAACAACATTAATATCTATATCTAAGACCTTATAGCCCTTGTAACTCGAAGGATAGCCTAGAAAAACACAAGGCTTTGCACGCGGTGTAAATTTGTTTCTATCTTTATCAAGAGTAGAAACATAACATAAACAACCAAATGTGCGTAAAAAGGAATAATCAGGTGCTCTATGATATAGTTTTTCATAAGGGGAAAGTTTGTTCAATACCAATGACGGATTTCGGTTTATCAAAAATACTGCAGTAGTCACACAATCAGACTAATAAAACCAAAGGAAGATGAGACTGAAAAAGAAGGGCTCTAGCAACATTAAGCAAATGTTGGTGTTTACGTTCAACAACAGAGTTCTGCTGAGGTGTATATGCACAAGAGAAAGGATGAATGATTCCATGTTCTTTAATAAGTTTGGTAAAAGCAAGCTCAGGAGCATTATCACTTCGAATCACTTTGATTACCGAGTTATACTGAGTCTTAACCAACTGAATAAAGGAAGGAAATATAGAAGAAACATCACTTTTATTTCTTAACATGTAAAGCCATGTAACTCTTGTACAATCATCAACAATAGTGAGGAAGTAACGATAACCCTCTACAGACTCAACTGAAAAAGGACCCCATATATCTAAATGTACAAGATCAAATGGTGATTCAGACAACCGATTATGAGAAACAAATGGTAACTTCTTTTGTTTAGCTAATGGACAGACTTCACAAGGACTGACACTAGACTTAAACGAGGGTAATGAACCTGAGATATGTTGTAACTTGAGAGAAGATGGATGTCCTAGGCGTTGGTGCCAGAGATCTCCATCTGCTAACAAGGATCCACAGAACTTGGTAGAGGAAGTAGTGACATCAGTCTCCAGAATGTAGAGATCATGTATAAGTTTGCCTCTACCAATCATCAAGGCCAGAATATTGTCCTGTATATAACAAGCATCAGTGTAAAAGTGAGCAGAGCTACGATTAGAATGCAGCAAAGAACTAACACTTATCAAGTTGAATTTGAAAGTAGAGATATACAGAACATCATGCAAAATCAAATGATTAGAAATATGCACGGTTCCAGTATATGTAATGGGGACGCTAGTGCCATTTGGAAGAGAGACTGTGACTCCTGTTACAGGAAAAACTTCACTAAAAAGAGATAAATCTGAGCAAATATGGCTAGTAGCCCCACTGTCTATTATCCAACAACCATTGGGAAGGGAATTATATAGTGTGGAAAGGCATTGATGTTGGAAAGTAAAGGAATAATTTTCATAACGAAGACTAGTGGAGGGGAAATCTATTGAGACATTACCGGATGTGGATGTAGCAGCCATAGCTCCATTTTCAGTGATGGAAGCAAGAGGAGTTGTCTGCTCTGAAGTCCGTACATGTGCAGTGAGGTGGTGAATCAAAGACTGAACCTGATCATTAGTGAAATGACTAAGATCAAAGGCATTCGGAGTAGGACCAGCAACTGCATTTGCCATTGGTTGATTATAACCAGACTGGAACTTCGATTGAGGTGGAAAAGTAGGTCGAGGACCAGAAGGAGCTTGACCACGAGGTTGAAAAGATTGCTGAGGAGTCGGTGCCTTAGAGGATGCCTTTTGACCTGGTGGATAGCCATGAAGTTTGTAACACTTCTGAACTGTGACTAGCACGACCACAATGAGTGCAAATCGGTCGTTGCTGTTGTTGAGAAGGTCTAAAAGCAGCACAGGCGGTGTTCTCAGCTGAACCATTATATCCAGTCGGTTCTGTAGACGCCTGAAAAGCAACATTATCTATCTTTGTAGGAGGCTTGATACACTTTTGTCGTTCATCTTGTGCAACCATGTTAAAAACATCTTCTATAGACGGAA